TTCCCAAATGAGGGAAGAGCCTTCTCTCTTTGGGTGGTGGTAGAGCCATTGGCCCCTGCCTCCAGGATTGTTGTTCACAGGTGCTCTTTCATGTTGGAGGTCCTGAGGTGGAGGATGGGCTAGCTTCGCTCTTGGCCTCCGTGTTTAAAGGGAGGGTATATTCACTAGTGGGCTTTGCAGGAAAGCATGTTTCATTGTACTTGCCTTTGGAGATGTCTTGCTCTTTAAGGTCTCCTTCAGATAGAGCTTCAGGGAGGCTCAGCATCTGTCCCTTAGAAGTGTTCCCAAAACATTGGCTAGTGAGGAGGAACTCATGCTAAGGGGAGATGTGGGAATAGCTGTGATTTTCACCTCTTTTTCCCTTCTTTCTTTGTAAAAGACAATTTGTAGTACATTTTGTCTCTCTAAGGGAGTCTCGAGTACCCAGCTGGTTAGATATATTTAAAGAAAGAAAAAGAAATCTCTTCACACAGACCTTGAAGAATTCTATTATAAATCTGAGTGGGAACCTGAGAATGCTGTGGCATACAGGCGAAACTAATTAAAATAACTGATAAAGAAATCAGATGTAGCTTTACATGGGATTTTCAAGATTAAAATGTAGGAGAGTTATGTTAAATAAGCTCTGCTTTTAACTCTATAAAGGATAGGAACTCATTCCTTTGTGCAGCTTGAAACTACTATCACCTGTGCCCTCTAGTGCATACTGGATGAGTTAGTTTGACAGTAAAATTCTGTATTGTGCTTCCTGCCTCTGCCCTAATTCTGCTGAGGTTCCTGGTGTAAGAATTCCCTTAGCCTCTCTGATCCCCTCATCCCTAGGTGTTTATTCCTGCCTGTCTGGTCCTGTTGTACTGCTCCTGGCCTGGAGAAGTAGTAAGGTCACCCTGGCAAGTACAGCGACCTGTGGCAGTCAATTCTCAAGGCCAGGGCAGTTTCTGCCCCCAGTGCTGCTGAGGCAAAGCATCCTGTCCTGAGGATGTTTATGCCAAGCAAGGGAGGCTAGTTAAAAATCTTCCCTCCTTTTCCCCTATCCATACTCCTGAGCTGGTGTCTGGGATAGGGTGGGTCATGTAGGGATCCTAGAGACCCCAGCATGGTCAGCACCTGTGGACCTCCTTCCCAGGAGTGGTGTGCAAGGTACTGCTAGGATCTACTCCAACAGATCCCTGAGGTAGAGGCCAAGTTACTGTTTGCTGGGTATAGGCAATTGAGTACCTTTTTGAAGTTCCCCAGGCTGTGGCGGAACACAGGGGAGGGTGGGGGATGGCGGCCAACCTTAGGCCCTGTGAGCCCCACAGACAGCTGTTTGTCCACTTGCTAAGACTTGTGACAGAGCAGCTTCTTATTGCATGACTGCTGTTTACTGGCATGATGGTCTTTTTAGCCAGCCCTCCCCTCCCTGCCTTACTTCCTATTCCTAGCCTAGTTTTGCCTGTCTCCGAATGAAGACAGGTGATGATTAGCTGCCCTTTTTCCAACTGGCACATTTGGCATTATAGAGAACATGGTACAAAACAACTGTTCATTTAAGGTTTCTATATCTGTCATAAATGAGTTTTCAACTTTCACGTGTCAAAATTGATAGGTTACCAAGGAAAAGCTTTGGAAAGAAAAGAAAGACATTGGCTGTTTACAGTATACACAATTTTAATAACAAAACTTCCCTGTACACTGCACTTGTCCCCCACCCCCACCCCCCCACCCCACCCCAGTATAATCGTATTTTCTTCCCACCCTCCCAACCCACTTGACCACTTCCCACCCCCACCCACCCACCCAGATGGCTTAGGGTGATTGAACACAATAGGTTTGAATACTTTCAGTTTCCAGTTTCAGTGTTGATAGGAATGTTCATCAAACATTCCATAGATCAGGCTTTTAAAAAATTGCCAAGGAAGAATAGGTTAATTGAAGGAGTAGCAGACATTTCCAAATGTCTGCAATAGCAGTATGGAAGCTTAAACAGTCATTTACTACTCGTTTTTTGCCTTAAATTATTTAAGTACTACGAGTTTGCCCTAGGTTAGGAACAGAAATATTTAATTATCTGTGGATGGCCTTATCACTTTTGTCTTCTGTCTTTTTCTGGTTGAAGCAATTTAACCAATAAGATATTGAAAAGCATGTCCCAAAACAGATTTTTGAGACGAGTCTGTCATTGTATTGCTTTATTAGGAAAATGATCATGTAAGTCATCTTCTAAAAATAATATTTCAAAATTTCATACTGATAGCCACACTTTGGAGAGAACGGGACGTTTATAGCTCCCCCCTCATAGTTGCGTAGGAAGTATGCCTTAAGAAAATGATACGCCTGTTTTGAATTTTAGGATTAAGCCCTAGTGCTACGTAGGGTTCATTTTTATTGGAAAGAGTCTAGCTCTTGGTGACTAGCATTAGAATAAGCAGACAGATTTTAATAATTAGTGGAGTGGGAAAGTTCAATCAATTCCATTCAATGAATTGGTACAGAAATTAACTTAGGCACATTAAGAAATTACATGTGTTAGTGCAGATTTTTGGCTTAAAAAATTAGTATCTTTGCTATTTGATGTTGGCAGTGGGTATTCTCTGAGTTGTGTATGGATTTGCAAATTTATCAGCTCACTCTCATTTCAGAAAGGTGATTGAAATCCCTGGCAAGCTACAGAAATGAATATAAATGATTCCAAACTAGCTCTTGGTTACTAGGTGGGTATAGTATCATAGCCTTTGTTAGCTTGCTTTTTCCAGAGAGATTTAATTATTTTTCTGTTTTTTAAGTGGTCATTTTCCTCTAATCTTGAAAGTGAAAAAAGGGAGAGGGGGCATTGAAGAGGATAAAACGACAGCAAAAAACAAAAGGCCTAACATTATATTACCAGGATCTGCAGTGTAGTTGTGATGCTCTTCCACCCGAGCCAGTTGGTAAAGAGAGCACATATGACTAACAGCCTCTTCTTCAAACCTGTGCTGTTACCAAAACACAAATAGACCAAAATTAAAAGAAATTCTGCCTTCTATAGGCAATTGAAAAGGGAAGTTTGCGCTTTAAATGGAAATGGAAAATGCTGTTTGGCACTGTTATTCACTTTTCTCAGAGAGCATTGCCCAAAAAATGAAGGGCCAAAAAAAATCTGTTAATTTTCAACTGAGAAGTATGCCTTGATGGCCTTGGCTATGCTGTTCCCCTGAATTACTAAATGGCTTGCTTTTCCAGTTTTCTTTCCTACGTACATTAAGGATTTTGCCAATTGACGGTCCATTTCACTAACTGTAATCTTTAGGATTAATGTGGGGACTCCCAGCCACTATTTCTCACCCTTCTGCTCACAGTTTCAATTAATTTTGGGTTGTGGTTGAAATGATGGAAACTACTTCTCTGCTATCCTCCAGGGCTAGTGGAATCTTGTGTGTCCAGGACCCAGTTGTATTGTGATAAAGTTGTTCTCTGACAAATGGCCATGGTTACCCTGATAAATGGGTTGGTAAATTTTAGCTTGTGGAGCTCTCATTTGTAATGGGGCTTCTGATCCAGCCCTTCTGTAAGGAAGCTGTGAGACGTGCTCTATGCCGTAAAATCAGCTTCTGTCCTTGCCCAGGCAGGCCTAGTGTCTGGTTTAACAAGAGGTGAAATGCTCACTGCTCAGGATCAGCTGAGATGGGCTGAGACTTTGCCAAACTAATCTACCCACCTTAAAAATTGTAGAGAGCACATTCTTACCATAATTTGTGATCTTGTCTGCTTTTTACTGAGACACTTTATTTGAAATGTAGGTAGACATCCCTCTCTTAGTATTAAATCTCATGGATTAAACTGTAATCTTAACATGTTTCAGTTCAATCCTGGGAAGAAATATGCCTTGAATGAAGGATATCATGTTAAGTAAAAGATAACTTTTTTTATGGTAGTGGTTTTCTCTAAGAATTTATGCCTTTTTTCTCATCAGCAAATGTCAGTTGTAAAAATGCTCATTCTCCTAAAATCAAGTCAGTAGTCTAATTTCACGGTTTTTGCTACTACATACACGGAACCTCATTTATGGAAAAATTCAGTGTCAATTGGTAACTTGCATCTAAATCCTAAATATGTCATAGTTTCTCCATAGAAATCATAATGGAAGAAACAAAGTACTTGTGGCTCTTTTCTACACGAAAAGTGTGGAATCATTATCATTTTTAAATTACTGAGCATTTATATTAATACCAGAGAACCTCCCCCCCTCCCCTTTCCAGCTGCAGGTCCCTGGGCCTTGCCCTGTTGGATGCAGATCATGTATAGTTGCCCATTTGCTTGACTACCTTTTAACTTTGCTAACCTGTTTCAGCAAGAGTCATATTTCAAAATGCTGCCTTTCTCTTTCATCCCCTCACCTCCTTCGAGTTACCACTGTGTGGCTGCATAGGCATATATTGTGTTCTGCCATGAGAAGGTTTGCCTCAGATATGTGTTGTTCCCTTCACTTAGAAGGACCTGCTCTTACAGTAAGAATAGGTATCCATTAAAAGGTCAAAATTTAGCATATAATATTTATAAAGTGATTTTTTCAAGTTTCCTTTAAAATATATTCTAACAAGAATCAGTATTATGCCTGTTGCTAGCCAGTTATTTTTAATTTGGCTCTTTGAGGCTTGAAGATCAGGAAAAGGCAGAAGAAAGAGGTTTAAACCCCTTTGTCAAGGCATCTTTGATCTTGGCAGTTGAGGGAGAGATGGAGGTGGGGGGGGTGGAGGACAGGGGGAGAAAGAGAGAGACTGGGAGAGAGAGTGTATTTGTGTGTGTGCATTCAAACTAGAGTGAGCAGGTGGTCATAGGATTGCTAAATTGACTCAGTTTATCTCTTTTCTCTCCAAAATAATTTCTAAATCTTTTTTCACATATAAATGTATATATAGGATTTAGTAAACTAATTAGTAAGGTGATAATTTAACACTAGTTTAAAGTAAGTATCTAAATGCCACAAAAATCAACGTGTCCATTATAAGTCAAACTAGAGATATGAAATGAAGTCAGTGTAATTATTTAGTATTGATTTCATTGTAATGAGACCTTTTCACAGTCACTTGGATTCATTGTTTAAATATATTAAAGAATCCCTCAGCTTATTAGAATTATATAAAGGGTTCTGATTTCATGATATGGACTTTGATAATATCTATTAACCCAGGTAAAAACTCTGGAAGAAGAGTGTTTAATATTGACCAGTCTTCAGCATACGTGAAATTCTACTCCGCACGCTGGCAGTAAATAGTAGGTTTGAGTAAATACCAAATTATCATACAAGAGAACTTTTCTAAGTCTCCTTTTAAGCAGCAAGCCAAGTTGTGGTACTTGGGGTAGAGAGCAATGATCAAACAAGTATTGATCCATATCTCTTTCTGCTCAGTAGCTTCTTTCCAAACTGTTTTCAGTAGAAAAAAATAGCATATGGAGACCTTAGTGTAAATGTTTACCCACGATAGCGTATAATTACATACATGAAATGTCTTATTTTGAAGTAAGCATTTTTAGACTTTCCAACAAGAGTGCAAATTAATGTGAGCATCGCTTCATTTAACACTGAAAATATGGTTTCATTAAAAAAAAATTAAAAATATTTCATCACGTCAGAAACCTAAGTCTCCACTTGGTTTGGAAAAATTAGCCTTAATGTCACCATTGGTAAAAATTAGATATGTATTTAGCCCCTACTATGTAAAATAGGTTACTTATCTGATGTGATTTTTGATGATGGGTAGATATTATACTTCACATTCTTTGTATGGCAGCTGCTGACACTTGCACTGTCCATAACCATTAATGATGATGAAGGGTCCTTCATGGGTGGGTTCATATTCATTATATGGTCCTTGGTCTGACATGTTTGACATATGGAGTCGTGTTTGGGATCGGAGCTGCCTGTGGTTCTGAATCATTGAGCACTGCCTAATTCTTCTTAAAGTGGGAGGGCAGCACTTCCTGGAGATGAACACTATAAAAATAATAAAAAAGAAAGAAAACAATAAAGCCATTGTTCCCGTAATTACCCGTTGAGTGAAGATGGCATTGTCTGGTTCGGGAAAGTGTTCCTCAGTAGTAACTGCTATGCCCGCAGTAGTTGGGATTTCTTTGTCTCCCACATGGTAACTTGATGAGCTTATTCTTTTTGTATATTCAGTGGTTGGATCTTTATAAGTTGTAGCCATGGCGGTGACAGTGGTTGATAAATTCCAGCAGAGCTGAAATCCGTGGACTGCATCTAGTATATCCTCTCCTTGGGTGTGGTCGGGGCTGTGGCATAGGATGGAATGCTCCCACCGACCTTGGAAACTGCCCAGCCAGGAGGCCAAAGCACATATTCGAGGGCTGCATTCCCACAGATTGCCAGAGAGGCCAACGGTTGTGAGGGATCTCAGGGAGTTTAAGATCTTGGAATCAAGGCTGTTTAACTTGTTGTTATCCATGAGGAGTATTTTAAGATTAGGCATCGTTTCAAACACTGTCAGGTCGATGGCTTTTATTTCATTTCCAGTCAGGTCTAGCTTTTCTAAAGTGCCCCAGGTCCACTCCATCCCACATGTCAAGTTGCTAATTTTGTTCCATTGTAAGAAGAGTGTGTGCAGACTGCTTAGCCGTAGGAAATGAGCAAAATTAATCTTCGTCAGCTGGTTGTGCTCTAGATGAAGCTCTCTCAGTTTGATTAATCCTGCAAATCCATTGCGAGCCAAACTTCGCAAACGGTTTGTGCTCAAATCCAGAAACTCCAGACTACGACAGTCCCAGAACAGGCGTACTGGGATAGTCCGCAGGGAGTTGGACCGAAAATGCAAGGTCTGTAGCTTCCGGAGGCCATAGAAGAGCTCTGGGTGCAGAGATGACAGCTGATTAAAAGACAGGTCCAAATTTTGCAGGTTAATCAGTTGGGTAAAAGTTGTGTTTGGTAAATAAAATATTTTGTTGGAACTTAAGATTAATTCCTTAAGTTTATATAGTCCTTGAAAAGCATCTTCTTTTACTGTTGATATTTGATTATGGTCTAAGTGGAGCCAGGTAAGTTGACTGAAGCTGGCAAATTGATCCCTTTCAAGCTCTGTGATGTGATTGTGCCTCAGGGACAGGCCCAGAGAGCCCTTGTCTGTGGTGTTTGGCACTGAGTGGAAGCCCTGAGAGTCGCAGTAGAAGAGCAGCTTCTCACAGCGGCATTTGGGTGGACATGCCATACCCAGGGCAGGCAGCATTTTTAAAACCATACTCATTGCATATATTGCTGCCAGCATAGGGGCCCCTAATGGCCACTTGAAATGTAAGCCTGCAGAATATAATTTAAGGAAGACAAGAAGATAGGATATTTTTCAGCAGAGCATATGGGCTATTAAAACAACAACAACAACATATCATTATGGCAAAAGATTTAACTACATATAACTTATTCGTCATTTGCTGCAGAAACACTAACCTTGTTAGTATGACTAGAACAAAACTTAAACCATTAAGAAAGAAGATAAAACACATCCTGTCCTCAGCAATATATGTTTTTACCTAAACCTCAAAATCCAAAAATGTGACGGTGATCTCCCTCATAAAATGTGAATTCAGTGGCTTATTATTTTAAAAGCGTTGATTCCTTGCTGACTGTACAAGACACATAAATACATGGACTTACCCATTCTTCTGAGCACATTGGAGCCTGCATTCAGTCTCGGTTGTCAGACTCAACGCAGTGAGTCTGTAAAAGGCTCTAACATGCGGGAGCCTTTGACCAGTTTCCTGTTTTCTGTGTCCCAGGCTTTCCGAGTAAAATTGAATCCACCAGGGTGAGTTGTTTTTTCCTTAGGATATTCCTCTCGAAAGCATTGGTTTCATTTTCTGTGACCACTCTGATCCCCTAAATCAGTTTTGAATATGTTATTAATTTCGTCCTCCTCTAACTGCTCAGCTGGTTAATCAGAGCTTCAGCCTCTCCTTTCTGCAGCCGTTAGTTCTCTCGGTCTTAACTTGTTGATGGCAGATGGGCTGCTTGTTGCAGAGAAGAGCCCCTGGAGCAGCATGAGTGCATTTACTGAAAAGCTTTTCCGAGAAATGGCACAAGAATGGATTTGCTTATGTGCTGCGACCACACAGAACTGTATATAGGCTGACGTCACCGGGTGACGTGTCTTTTGTTTGGGTTTTCCAGAAGCTTTACTGTTATAAAGCAGTGTGCTTTGTAACAGTATCGGGGTCGTTGTTAAGACCCCTGATTATAATGAAGCGAGAAAGAAGAACTCCTGACTTAAAAACATGGTATTCCTTCAGTGTAGGAAGCAGCAGTGAGGTTGTAATAAAGGCTGCATTCAAGAAGACCCGTCTGAACAGTGAGTTGGGTTAGCAGTGTGATGATTTTTTAATGCTTGGGAGAGCCAGTGTTAGACTGCCGATTCTGCATAGAGAGATCTAAATGGGCAGGAGCCTGCACGATTTATGAAGTGCTGATTTAACTGCAGCCTCTGCAAGTGCCTGCTGCTCTGGTAGTTTGGAAAGCTACTCAATCACCTTGCTGTCATGCTTGGTTAACATAGAAGTATGACTATGATTTGCTTCAAATGTGTTGGTAAACTAGCTAAGTGGGCTTTGCTTCTTTGTCGTTAAGAGTTTAACATCATAAACCAAGAATAAAGGGCAAAAAAAAAAAGGTTGGAAAACAAAGCATTTGGTTATTTTGCTCTTTGAGAATTTCAGGAGAAAGCTAATTAAAAAAATTCTCCTTCTCTGTCTTATTTTATATAATAGTGTTTTATCACAGTGCTAATTGAAAAATAATGCTGATTTGATCTTTGGATGTCTTAGTAGGAGAAAAGGGTAGGTTGATACAGTCATTTAATATTGCATGCCCTAAGTGTTAACAGCGGAACAGAAATGATTTAGGACAAGTGGTATAGCATGGCTGGATTCTGCCATGGTCCCTTGTATTTACCTCAGAATTTCACCCACTTCTTCGGCTAAAAGCCTCTACTGCTCTGGGATTGGGGCATTGTGACCCTCAAACAATAGAGCATTTGCACACTCGGTAGTGCCTACTGGCACAGTTAAGAACTGACTTTGAGTCTTATACTAACTGTTGTTGAAATCTCTCTAGGGAATACAAAAGGTCACTCATACTCTGGAATAGGATTTTTGCTTTGGCTGTTTTTACTTGACCTAACACCATCTTCTCCCTGTCGAATAGTATCACTTTTCAGAATTTGGTTATGACTGTACAGCTCCATGTTTACTATTGTATAAATGTAAAAGATATTTCTACTGTGAGTCAGGGTCATATTTTCAGGCCTGACAAAGGTAAGGCCTTTTATACATCTGACATTACTGATTTGGCTTTCCAGGCCATTTCTCCCATATCATTGGCACTTATCCTTAGTAGGCCTTGTCTCAGACCTGAAGGCAAAAATCTAAAAACTACCCATTGTGTCTGTGAAACCAGAACATCATCAGTCTGTTGGCTTCCAGGGGCTTTATCACACTGGGCATGTGTAAGAAGTTATTGTCTCAAGGGGTTTAGTTTCTGTGTTGGAGTGTGGTGATAGAGTGAGGACTGGAAGACTCCAAGGTGCCTTCCTCAGGGCTCTGTGGAGACAGCAGCAGCTGCAGGTGTGTAGTTTGGCTCCTCCTAGAAGCAGACCCCAAGGTAGGATTAGAAGTATAAGAATTTTATTGAGGAAAATGCCTGGGATGTGCAAAGGGAGAGAGAAGACAGCAGGAATACACTTAGGTCTGGTAGAGTCTAACAACCGTGGGGCATGTCTGATACCTCTGAAAGGAGAAGACTGAAGGAAAGACTCTGTGGGCAGTGCAGTTCTAAGATAGCGTGCCCAAGCCAAAGTTACCCATGAGTGGAACCCCTTATTCTCAGGAACTAGTACTCCCACTGTATTCCTGCTTGCTGGTTAAGGAAGGGAGGGAGAGGTCCTAGATTTCAAGGATGCCACCCCCGCAACTGACCTTGATCCTTTCCATAGTCTTTCTCTCTTGTAAGCTAGAAGTTCTTAACCTGGGTCCATAATTGGCTTGTAGAATTTTGTTGCTTGTGCATTTTTCTGTGGGTAAGGTTTAATCAAATTCTTACAGGTCTGTGACCATAGGTTTCAGAGTGACCATTCTATAGGAACTTGCTCCCAAAACTTCCAACAAGGGGAGTCGGACAAGGGTGTTAATTTTTTTTTTTTTTTTTTTTTTTAAGGAAAAGAAGCCCTTGGGATACTGTAAATGCTCTTATTGAAGTCAGCCACCCTCTGATTAAAAAAAAAACCTTTGCAAGGCAGGAGGAGCTGGATTAAATTCTCCCCTGAAGTAACAACTTTAATTCCATGTGGAGAAAAGCATTAGAACCAATTGGATTAGAGCAACCATGATTAGGAATGAGTTGTATGTGAAAATTTAGAGGGAAGAGCATTTCCTTCCCCTTAAACTCTTGGTTCCTTTCTGCTCTGTAGTCTGCTTGGCCTACTTCTTATACTAACAAATGGCAAACCCTTAAATTACGTTATCCCAATACTGCTATAACAGATTTGTGGGCAAGGAAAATTGCGCAGAAGAGCACCAGTGCAATCGAGTAATTATTTTTTGATGCATCTGGAGAAGTGGGCAGTAATGCCTGCCATATCACAGTACCCAGAGAGCACAGTCCGTCTAGGTCACCAGCCATCTTGCCCACCTTGCCCACTTGCCCTCCCTTTGGGTTCAAAAGGTTTAGACGGTGGAATCAAAGATGTGGTGTTTGTCTTAAAATTGGTTGAAGTACCATAGTTCCTATTGATGGAATTTTTAAATCGTTTTTTGATCTTTATCTTTCTTTAGCTAAAAGGACTAAAAAACCCATGTTCTTTCTGAATTAAACTTTTTCTTGGTTTCATTTTACAACAGCTTTATTCTGCATACATATGCCTTTGACTTAAAGTGGCAGTACAACCTCTGGAAGGTACTTTCCATATCATCTGTTTCAATTTTCACTGTTTTAGTTGTTCGTGACAAGGCAAAGGACAAGTAAAATCTAGCCCGCTTGTCCTCTCTGTAAATGGTTGTAAGCAAATTAAATGAGTCATGTGGCAGGGCTTAGGTGTTGTAGTTACCTGCATTACTCTGCATGATAGTTTGCTTTGAATATATATTGCTAATTAGGGACAAATATTTCCCCACTTGGAGAAGCAGATGTATGGGTATATACATGAAATCTTCTAATTTGTGGTCGAGAGGGAGCTGGATTTTGCTTTATGCTAAAGAGTCAAATATTTCTTAACTAATCATGCCCGACTCCAAAAATTTTAATACCCCAGCACCCAGAGGTGTGGTGGGGAAGCACAGAGGTGCTCTGGAGAAGTATGTTAAAATAAACCTTTTTGCTTCCAGTCTTGGTCATCGTTCCTTGGAGATCTCCTTACGATTATCAGAAAGTGATAGACATTTTTAGGGTGGAGATCCAAGATTTGTAGGTCTGAGTATATCCCCTCCTAAGAACCTTTAAGGGTTCTTAGTTGGCAGCCACATACTTGGGCCTGTATTGTATCAATACCTGTATTAGAGTGAGTGGGTTTTACCAGCCTGTTTTTGGAGGCAGGAAAGAAAGAGGATGGGAGAATATTCTGATAAAACCTAGAGTTATTCACTGCTTTCAAACGTGTGTATTTGGAGACAAAGATTGACTGTTCTTGTAAACTATTTATTTATTTATTTATTTATTTGCTGTGTTGTGTCTTCATTGCTGTGCGTGGGCTTTCTCTAGCTGTGGCAAGCGGGGTCTACTCTTGGTTGCAGTGCACGGGCTTCTCCTTGTGGTGGCTTCTCTTGTGGCGGAGCACGGGCTCTAGGCTCACGGGCTTCAGTAGTTGTGGCGTGTGGACTCAGTAGTTGTGGCTTACGGGCCTAGAGTGCAGACTCAGTTAGTTGTGGCACGCGGGCTTAGTTGCTCTGCGGCATGTGGGATCTTCCCGGACCAGGGCTTGAACCCATGTCCCCTGCATTGGCAGGCGGATTCTTAAACCACTGCGCCACCAGGGAAGTCTGACTATTCTTTAAAATTTTTGATTTGCTCTTTAAAAGCTACTGGGGTTTGGCAGTAAACTGTTTGTTATCTTCCCAAGAACCAGAACTTATCTGACAGAGGCAGATAGAATGTGTAAGGATTGAGGGACTTACCAATCTGTCATGTTAGAGATGGGCTTGAAGAGTAGTTGATTATCCCAGGTAGAGCCAGAGGATCTGAGAATATTTAAAATTCTAGGCTCTTAGAGTTTTGGTGAAATCACAGGGGACCACTGTTGAGTGTAAATAAGTATCTCTATTGCTGGGATCTTTCCTTTCACAAGCCCTGTAAGAAGTAGACTGGTCCACATTAAGCCTACAGAATCCCTATTTTTGACCTCGTCCTTGCCCTCCATAATTGTGATTTTTAAGTTCTTCTGTTATCTTTATTAAACATGACCGAGAAAGGAGTAGGAAGGAGTGATGGTTACACCAATGATGATGAGCTGTGTCCCTTTTGGTGCTGTGACTTACAAAGTTTGGTTTTGGAGGCATGTGCTTTTTGGCAATTGTTGGTATTGGTGGGGTGGCAGAACTAGGATCATGTGACAGCCTAATTCTTTTGTGCTAGCATTGTGTTCTGTGCCCAGGGCTAGAAAATTCAGTAAATTTTGGAGTGATGCACCTTAGGTAAGGGAAGATTTTCCATAGAAGTTTGAGCAGAGGTACATTTAGACCACAAAGATCTTTTTTTTTTTTGCGGTACATGGGCCTCTCACTGTTGTGGCCTCTCCCGTTGCGGAGCACAGGCTCCGGACATGCAGGCTCAGCGGCCACGGCTCACGGGCCCAGCTCCGCGGCATGTGGGATCTTCCCGGACCAGGGCACGGACCTGTGTCCCCTGCATCGTCAGGCAGACTCTCAACCACTGTGCCACCAGGGAAGCCCTAAAGATTTAATTTTTAAAAATTTATTTTTGGCTGTGTTAGGTCTTCGTTGCTGCACACAGGCTTTCCCTAATTGTGATGAGCAGGGGCTACTCTTTGTTGTGGTGCGTGGGCTTCTCATTGTTATTAAAGAAATTAATTTTGTTTGTGAAATATTT